AAAAAAGAATGGCCTCCTGGCCTGAATACATTGAAAATCAACTAAACAAAAGGAAGGGACAAGCTGCAATCAGGGCAAAAAGTGTGTATAAGTGAGGCGCGGGGGAGGCCCAGCCCAGCTCAGCTCCAATTGTAAGAGAAGAAATGAGGGGGCTGAAGCTTTTGAACAAGTGTTCCATTCTAATAGCTCATAACAGCGGCAGCTGCACTTACAGTAATACTGGCCTATTCAACCAGAAACCAATAACTTTAAATGGCCCGGTAGTTACAGTAGTTTTGCCCCATTATGCTGCAGATCATTTTGAATCCTACCAATTAAAGGGAAGAAAAAAACCCTACATATGTCCCAATAGCCTGAATGATGGAGACTCTGAATAGGCGAGACTGATGGCCGCTGACTATTGTAAGGAACCTCTGGCCGGCCCATTAGACTGAGCTGTGCTATGCATATGGTGCCTTCGGAGTCAGCCATTTGTTTGGAGTTGGAATTTTCAACACTTTCAATCATTTTACATTCAAAGAGTAGTTTGTCCACCTGCTTTATTTTCTGGAGGCGCACATAGCTCCCCGGGCTGCTGGCTTATTATCTGGCAATTGGTTTCCTGGTCCATAAGGTGCGCAGGCTCTGTCAGCTAAGTCCCTTCAGGGTTAGGGCTGGCTTCCTGAGCTTTGCTGTCTGAGGTCAGCTCAGACCAGGTCTCCTTTTGTTCCAACTGGCTCGATCTTCTGTCTTCTAGTTTTCTGCCCTCATGAGAAGCCATGGCTTTTGTGTATTCTCAACCCACGGTAATCACCTCCCCAACCCAAACACTCTCCCTGACATTCTTCTCACTGAGCTCACCTTAATCTTGTCCTGTTGAACTCCAGAGGCTGCCCTCCTCCTCACCTTCCTGGGTTCTTTGTGTCTCCTGATGTGCTGGGTCCTCCCTCTGTGCCCTCCACATTCTGACTCGCTGTTGCTTCCCTGCCAGCCTCCCTGACCACTTCTTCCCAAACTCCTTCTGCCCTTTCTTTTCCTTGCCTGAGCCATAAGACTGGGGGAGTGGGAGCTTCTCAGAGCCCCGTCCTCGGTGAACTTCCAGCTACTCACTGACAACTGACAACCTTCATCTCCAGCTACAACCTCCCTCCTGAACTGGAAACTAAATCCAGTAAGACAATTCATTCCGAAAGGTGAGATATGGTGGAGAAGAGGGATTTGGGCATTTTTAAAAAGACCCTTAAAGATCTTCCACCGTGGCCTCCCCACAATGGAGGAATCCCTTCCCAGGATTCCTCAGCAGGCACCAAACTCCCTTTCCAACCTCTTGAAGCTGAACATTTCATGGTAGATCTGATCTGATTTTATCATTGGGAAACTTGTCCTTGTTTTTTTTTTTTTTTTTTTTTGAAATGGAGTTTTGCTTTTGTGGCCCAAGCTGGAGTGCAATGGTGCTATCTCGGCTCACCACAACCTGCACCTCACAAGTTCAAGCGATTCTCCTGCCTCAGCCTCCCCAGTAGCTGGGATTACAGGCATGTTCCACCATACCTAGCTAATTTTTTTGTATTTTTAGTAGAGACAGGGTTTCTCCATGTTGGTCATATTGGTCTCGAACTCCCAACCTCAGGTGATCCGCCTGCCTTGGCCTCCCAAAATGCTGGGATTACAGGTGTGAGCCACCACGCCTGGCCTTGTCCTTGTTTTTAACTTAAATCTGCCTTTCCTAATTCCTACCCGTTAGCTGTACTGGTTCTCTCTGAAACTACCTACACCAAGTCTACTGCTTCTTCCACCTGACGCCTCTTCATTTTCCAGGCTTAGCATGCCCTGGAATTTCAGTTGCTTCCTCTAGGGGATGGCTCTGGAGCACTTCATCTGCTTGGTCTCTCTTCCCCATGCCATATATATTCTTCGTCAGTGAGTGAAACCCTCAGCTTCCTTACTTGTCTCTCACTTGGTAGTGACTCCAGTGCCCACACACATCTTCAATTCCAGCCTTTAAGTGATCCATCAACTGCCAAACAAACACAAGAAAATGACTGGCAGAGAAAAGCCAACTCTGAAAGACACACAGGACAGATAAGACCCTTTAAAAAACAAAGGAGGCTTTAATTTTCTGGGGCATATCTGACTTTGTATCACTCTGTTCATGTAATAAAATATTTGATAGCTTTTATTGTAATTTCAACTTTTTTTGTGGTTTAAAGACTTTGTAGATAAGTTTCTTGATAATTCACATAATATGTAATGAAAACAGGGCACCTGGCATTTGCTTTGGATAATACATTTCTAGAATGATCTAGGAAATTTCTTATTACTGAAATCATTTGGAAGACAATAATAATATTAAAATATATCATATTTAAGATATTATGAAATAATAGTAATAACTGTTACTTTTAATTTCATTGCAAAAGATCACACTGTTATCCAATCAATAATTTCTGAAAATATAATTCTATAAATATTCTACTATAATAACATATAATAACAAAATATCTATTTTTCTCATTTTAAGATGCTTGTTTGATCTAAGTACTTGCATTTCACCACGGATTTGTTTTATCCAAAATTGTTTATGAAAATTTAGGAAAAAGTGCAATCTTCAAACTAATTATGAATTAGTCTCCAAATATTTTAAATTTGAAATCATTGAAGTCTATTCTGGCTTCTGAATTTTATTTTGAAAAACAGATTCAAATATTAAATTAATTCTTAAGTAATTGATTCACTGTCTTCTACCAAAAATTATAACTTTTTTGAGGAAAAGAAAAATAAATGAGAGAAGACTAAATTATCCAAGTTTCATGGACTTAGGTGGATTATCTGATTTGTCAAAATAATAAATCATAAGAGATAAAGATAGAGACAAAAATCTACAATCAGCTTAAGGTGTTACATATGATAAAACAGTCACTACTTCTCTGTTCCTTACTTTCAAATGGCCTTGAAAATTTTTCATTTGAATTTCCTGGAATTTAAATAACCAAATTTCCTAGGTTACTTTGACCATGAACTTTAGGGTAGATTTTGGAAGACTTCATCATTCATCAGTTTCTCCAATATTAAAATGGTGAACTCTCAGGGATAGAAGAAACCTAAACTTTTTCAGATTCAACTATCTCCTCAAAACTTGAATCTCATGTACAACAACTATGTCACAAGTTCCCAATCACAGGTTACACACGTCCACTTCAGCTTCAGGTGTGCCAATCAGGAAATGATTGTCAGAATGCTCTTTCATTAACTCAGTTGAAGTGCCCACCTATAACCCTTCAGACATGAGTTCTCATGTCTACTCCTTGGAGCTCTACACAGTGGCATCCCTTCAATGTTGTGCTGAACTTAAACAAACAGGTAGAAACCATGCTCAATGTCATATTCATCTTTGCCAGACTGGGATATTTTCACTAAAATCTGCCACTCAGTCATGTTTGCAAAAGAAGCAGCACCCTTTACGCCTCCTCTGTTAAGAGTTCAAAAAAGGCAGAGGACCTCGTATTTCATTCAACAGTGATTTTAGAAGCAAGCAGGATGACTTTGAATGTTAGTCACTGTGATTGTATTTTGAGGTATCGGTTTAGCTAGGCATGTCACCAGTTATTCAATCAAACACTACTCTAGATGTTACTGTAAATGAATTTTATAGATCTGATTAATAATTCGATTATCACTTGTCTTAACTAGGGAGATGACCCCAGATAATCTGGGTGGGCCTGATTTAATCAGTTGAAAGCCCTTAAGAATAGGCCTGAGGCTTCCCTGATGAAGAAAAAATCCTACCTGGGGACAGCAGCTTTGGTTCATGCCTGAGAGTTCCAGTCTGCCCTTCTGGATGGCCTGTCCCACGGATTTTGGACTTTCCTAGCCAGCACCCACAGTAGCAAAAAACAATTCCCTACAACAAATCTCTTCATATATCTGTATCTATATCTATATATCTATTTCTGTATCTGTCTATCTATCCATCCATCCTACTGGCTCTGCTTCTCTGTTGAATCCTGATGGAAATACCACCAGCTTGGACAAAAAAGGAGGACAAAATGAAAGAAAGATGTCAGACCCTCACAATTCTATAAGCAAGAAATAGACTGATAAAATTACTCAGGTGCAAATGGGTGCTACCTTTATTAAAAAGGAAGCATGATTCAGAGGGTGAAGTTGAGAACCCAGAAGGTAGAGCAAAGAGTTGCAGGGGATTAAGGGATTCCCAGGCCTTGAAACCGAATAGAGCTTGCCCAGGAAACAGTGAAGTTTGCTTGGTATCGATGGATCCTTTTTTTCTTACTTTATTTCCCCACCTTTTTGAAAGGCAATAGCTATAACTGTTATTCAATGAGTCTCCCGCCACATATATTTAGGAGCAGATAACTTGTTTCTTGAGTTTCAAAAATTCATAGATGAAAAGAAACCATGCCTCAGAATGGATTATACTCAGAGCCTCACTGAGGCCTGCTCTAGATGATGGAGATGATGAGATTGGGGGTTTTTGAACTGATAAAATTCAGATAATATTTTGGATTTTGAATTGATGCAGCAGTGTATTTAGACTTTTGGTGTGTTGGATTAGAAGGAAGGTATTTTGCATGTGGAACAGACATGAATCTTTGGGAGACAGAGGGCAGACTGTGGTAGGAAGAATAATGCCCTTGCAAAACCCTCGATGTCTTAATCCCCAGAACTTGTGAATATGGTAGTTCAGCTTAAAGGAGGATTAAGTGCCAGATGGACTTCAGGTTGCTAATCAGCTGACCTTAAGATGGAGACAATCTCCTGAATAATTCACATGGACCCAGTGGGATCCTAAAGCTCCTTCAGTGTGGAAGAGGGAAGCATAAGGGTCATTGTTGGAGGGATGTAGCCATTGCAGGCTCTAAAGATAGAAGGGGCCACGGGCCAAGGAACACAGGCAGCCTCAGGAAGCTGGGGGAGGTGAGGAAACAGATTCTCCCTAGGGACTCCAGAAAGGAGCACAGGCCTGCAACACCTGAATTTTGAATTTCTGACCGCCAGTACTGTAAGACAATAAATCTGCACTGTTTTAAGCCACTAAGTTTGTGGCAATTTCCTACAGCAGCCGTAGGAAACTTGTACAGTCACTCTTGGTAGAGGGGGGAAGGAAAGAGGAAGTCTAGTGGCGTGTGCACACATCTCATGGCGACAAAGGGGAAGCATCTTATTCATTATTAATTGTGACTATGCGATCACTTACACGAATATGAAGCTCTTCATTGATGGATTCTTTTTTATTGGTTTTTTTAACATCCAGGTACCGGACCAGAGGGCCAATTGTGATTCCCTAGATCAGAGATAACAAAATACAGCGTTTTGTTGTGACGAAGACTGTCACTGGAGAGAGCAAATTTATCCACAAAACTATTCGAATGTCTAATCTATGTTTTTATACTGGCTATTACAGGATAAACGCTCCAATGTTTACTTCAGTTGTTAATTCCTTTAAGTACTGAAATAAAAATAGATATATTGTCTGTATTTTAACATAGGAGTTTGGTCTCACCCATTAAAATAACCTTTCATTAGCTCTTAAGAGCTAGCTCCAACTAAAGCAGAAACGTGTGCTACCTAGTACTAATTGGAATCTCATTTTCAGAAATGTAGTGTAGCTATTAGTCACCTGCTACTCAGGAATCTTTTGATTCATATGCTGCATTGACTTAAAGGTGATATATTTTAGAAGTTAAAGGATAGTCACAAACATGATCTAGAAATCTCTGGGAATTTCGTTCGGGTATTGAGCAAAGATCTGAAAATCAGATAAAATGTCTTTATTTGTATTTTATTAATTTATACACTGTTCTGAAAGAATCGACTTATTTTAAATATAAGGGAAACCTACTTACCTGAATAAACACAGTAAAGTATATAACTACTAGAGTAGCAGTGACAAACATTTTCTTCCTAGGAAAAAGAGACAGAGGAAGCAGAAATGCAAGTGAAAAGCTTCCAGCTCCTCGAACACCACTGTAGAAGATTATGCACTGGTCCTTGATGGAGAAGGGGAAAGTCCGAAACTGGTTACTGACATAGAAGAGAGCAAATACGCCTAGAAAGGGGGAAATATGTATTAGAGCAGAGGGTCATGAATGAGCAGAGATACAGAGCTAATGAACTGAGGTTGCGTGTGTGTGCCCTGCCAACAATGAAGACTAATTCCATCACACATCCATGATTGTCAATCAGAGGTAAAGTACCTTTTATGGCTTTTGACTTTTTGTTAGTTGTGAGATAGTAGCACTGCAAGTGGGAATCTTCACTACGGTCAACTGGCATGTATTATGTGCATGTGTCTGCATTTGTGTGTTTAAAGTAATAAAATCTTGATCTTTTTTAATGTAAGGTATATATTTTCTAATCTATATTCATAATATTTGCCCTACCTTTCAAAACTAGTCAAAGCAAGGATATTGTTGAGTAGGTGAAGGGGATAAATGCATTCTTATCATCTCATATTTTCAGTGGGTACTCAAAGGAGGTCTGTAATTTAAAAATGAGAGGGGTACTCTTAGTGACTGTGGTCTCTACAATCAAATCCTTTATCATTGACTTGGTCCTTCTTGAGGTTCAATGCAAACAAGGAACGAAGTTGGAAAGGGTTAGAGTGTAAGTGGGTGCCTCTTACTGCCAGTGAGTTTCTTAAATAGAAGGTGAAGGGTGGGGGAGCTTGTTTGAAACACAAAGGAGTTTTCTGCCACGTTGATGTTCATCCCCAAGTGGCCCACATGACCTAGCTACCACCAATGCGTGGTGCCTGGTAGGAAAGTTTCCTTTATTAAAGCTCTGATGAATCAAAGAAGCATTTCATTTAGTAGAATAAAACTCTCCACATCCTCATGTACTTTCACTTACACAAACTTGCCAGCAAGAATTCTTTGATAATAGGTGCATGGATAGTGCAAGAGATAAGCAAATTTACTTTTTAAAACATTGTTGTGTTTGTCCCGGTTCCTCTACATGCCAGTCATGTGACCTTGGGCACGGTTCTTAATCATTTCATGTCCTCAGACTCCACATCTGCTTGATGGGGTAGCCACAGTGTTTCTCTCAGAATGTGAATGTAAGGATTAAATAATTTTAACATCCATAAATAATATAAGATGCAGCCTTTTATGTAACAAGCCTTCACGAGTGTGAACTACTATTAGTTGCGATGAGTCAGGGTGGGAAGAGAACGGGCTGTGAGTGGGAGAATTGGATTCTGACACCTGGCTCTGTCAATTGCTGTGACGTGGCCAATTGTGTCACTGTCTTGGTGGTTTTTCCATCAATTTCCTCAACTGTAATAGCACGGGGTTGAGATGGATCATGAAGCATTAACAATGTCGATATTCCTCCAATATAAATCCTCTCCTAGGTAGTTTCTTTTCTTGTTGGCTGGGCTAAAGCTCTATAATTTTACTTCTCCTGGCATTAGCTCTACTCCCCTGTAGATTCCTAGAGTATTAGAACTGAAAGGGAACGAATAAATTTGTTCAAATTCATCTTTCTGTGGTTGAGGAAGACAATTTTGAATAAATGTCTGTCCAAGATCAAACAGCTAGTTTGTAGTAAGGCCAGTACTAAGGATTTGAGATTATAAACTTGTATCACAGCTTCCTCCATTCTCCTCCAAGGAGCCCAAGAAACATATATATTCAGAATTGCTTACAAATATTTTAATATTTCTGCATTCTTGTTAATCTCCTCTAGAGCCTAAAACCCATCCTAAATGAATTTGGAATTAATAAGTTTAAGATAGGTTCTCAGTCGTTTCATCTAATTTCTCTTTGAGTAATTGGCTTGAAAATATTGGTCAAAGTCATTTAACATAATGCTTCAAATATTAGTCAAGACACTTAAAAATAGAATTGCTCCCAGTCAAAAGGCAACCCATCCCTTGTAGTTCAGTGCTTAATGTTCTTTTCTAACTCCTGAAACATAAATGTATAAGAGAAATCATCAGCCATTAGTTCTCATTTTAAAAGCCTAGTTACATTTTACAGGTGTGATGCCAGTTACACTCTGAAGTTGTTCTTACTAATTAATGCAAAGCTCTTTTAAACATATTCACTTCCTGGTTTTTTTATTTGCTATGTATCACACATTCATGCATTCAACCCTCAAATAAAGCCACCTGTACTATTTATGGGGATGTTTTCTACCATTATTTGCCTTCCATAGAATACGGTTTGTGAGATTTCACTTATCCTATAGTGAAAGTGTAAATAAATGCCCACGGTTTATAATCCATTTCTGATTTAAGGTCCAAGAGAATAGGAATCTGCAAAGAAGTGAGGAGCAAGGGATTCACTGACTGAATTGTATTTAAATAGGTAGATGTAGAAGCTCTTTCTTCAATTAAAAAAATACTCCTTGCCCCAGCCTTGCTTCAGTGCAGAACCATATCAACCACAAACAAAAGATTCCTGCTCATGACCAGGTGCCTAATCTACCCTAACCGGTAGAACCAGTTAGCATCCCCTCAGTACTAAATTTTTTACAATGCAGAAGGGAATAAGAGAACTGATAATGCAGCAGGGACCGGAGACTCTGGGGACCGGGAACTCTGGGACCCTGCTGTCTCTTACTGATGGCTCTCCAGATCTGGCAGAAGGCCAGGGTGAAGCAGATGAAGGCCCAGTTCCACTCGTGGTTCTTGCCCACGGTGGACACACCCATGAAGATGAAGATCAAGGTCTCGCTGACGCTGCTCAGCATCTTCATGAAGTACTTGATGGTCGTGTACGATGTCTGGGACACGTTTTCTTCCACGTACTTTTTCATTGTTACTGCGCAGGCTGTAATTCTACAAAAGGAGCAGAATCTCAGAGAAAATCCATGAGATTATCCACTTCCACAAAACGTCCTCCCCACAGCTGATGCCACGAATGGATGAAGCCTGTGTTGATACAGGAAGAATATCTCCCTTATTCCCTTCTGTGGCTGCAGATTTTTCACAAATTTTCTTTCTCCTTCTTTTCCTTCCCTAAGAGATCTTTATAAGGTAAAGGTGAATGTGGTGGAAAGGTGGGCGTAGCACGGTCTTTCTGAAATAAAATGACACACAATTCCCATGGGCACACCCAATGCAGAATGCTTCTCTCTTGCCCTTTTCATGAAGAGTTTGTCAGTCCCAACTCACACTTGCTACTTTACTTAAACCAAATTCAGCAAGGCTCTCATTTCCTCCAACCCAACCATAAATCATCAAAACTTAAGACAATGCAAGATTCTTTTTTTATTGGCTTTATTTCAAATAATTCTGTTCTAGCGTGCCATTAAGCAAGTGCGGGAAAAAGAAAGAAACTTGCCTTGTCTTAGAGGTTTTGATCATTTTTCAGGTGGGAAAGTGACAGATGTCTAGAGTTTACACTATCACATTTAGTTGAAAGAGCTATTTCCCCTTCAATGAAATTAAATGTATCTTCCTTAATAGCTGGAAAGGATAATACCATAGAGAAGATAACAAGACCAGATATAATAAGCCAAGCTGAGCAGCCTAATTCAAAGATAGACATCTCAAGGATACAAAGACATAAGGACAAGCATTTCAAAAATATTTGCATTAGGGCAAAGAAATGTAGATTTCTAATCTTATCCCATCTGCCTAGTTTCATTCCATATTGAAGAGCCATGGCTGTGTGATGTGGTTTGAAGGCCACAGCAGAAGGCAGAGCCCAGGAATGGCAGTCCCTTATGCATGTCTCCCTTCGACTTTAAAATTAACTTTTCAAGGAAAAAAACACACTACTGAGATGATAATTCAACCTTGAAGTTGCCCCAGATCTTCTCTGTACCGGCTTTACCGAGCCTTCTAAACTGACATAATAATTACTATGCACTCCTCAGGCAAATCACAAGAAGAGGACAACGGCAAAGTTGGAGAGAAGGTGCGTTTGACAAAGAGCTCAATCAGGTTTTATAAAAGTTTAGAAACTCCTAAATCCTGCGGCACATTTGAGGGTTGGCGTCATTAGTCATGCCTTTCCCAGATGCCTGATTCAGGTGATGTGGCCCTAAACTTTCTACTACTATGTGATTTGATCCTTGGTTTGTACTTACGCCAGGATGCCTGAGAGGTAGAGGGTTTCAGCAGCTAAGTAAGACAAGTAGCTGAACATGAAGACGATGAGTGGCTCAATTGCAGAGATATTCTGAGTGAAACGTGTGATAAACGCAGAAATAAATCCAAAAACGATGCCAAACATTACCCCTCCAACCCCTACAATGATGAATCGGGCACATCCAGCCAAAATGTCCACAGGTTCTATGTCTTCAAATTTATGCATCTTTGTAAAGGCAATTAACATATTGTATAAGACCTAGACGAAAAAAAAAGAGAAAATAAATATGAATGATTAATAGAAACTGGAAATACTTTGCATGCAGATTCTCAGCTATGTGTCTAGGTAAGTAATACACAAAAATAAATTATACAATAAAAAACACTAAGATGACTGCATTTTAACTGTATTCCCAATACTTTAGATGTATTCTGTTTCATTGAATAAAAAGTGTAATACTCACAACTTTCATTCACTGAGCACCTACTACGTATCAGTCTCTTTGTTAAGCTTTCAGTGGCAGTTAATTTATTGCCTCTAAATTCCAAATGTACCCTTCTATTTGTGTTTTATAATAGACAGTGGAATTACTTGAAGCATTTCTTCTTTTTAGTGAGCACCTAGTTAAGCTCTCTCAGTAGAGGGCCTAAGAAGGACAGTGCAGGTGCAGGAGGAAGGGGCTTCCCGTGGGGAGAGTCAACCACGTGGGTGTGAGGAATTCCAGTGGATCCTGCCTGAACCACAGGCCCTGTAAGTGATCCCCCTGCAACCCTGCAGCTTTGGCCTGGTGATAACCTGTCTGCAAAAAGCCCATGATATGATATGGTAAAAGACATGATAACCTGTCTCCATGGCCCATGTGCATTATGTCTGGGGCCCAGGGCTTCACCCAAGCAGCCCACCCTCTGAGAGCCTTCTCCCCCACTCTCCATGCAGCCTGCTCCTCTGAAGATCCTCTACCATCTCCCAAGTGCAGGCTCCCACTGCAGCTCTGGCACAGGGGTTGCTGACTGATGTCTGGCCCTGCCTGCCTTCCAGAGGGTGGTCGATTGTTTTCCCAGCAACTCCAGACCAGCTCCAGTGTGGCTAAAGCAGCCAACTTCTCTGCTACCCAGTGGCCAGTCCACACCTTCTCCTGTGAGAGGTGAACCCTCCCCACACGTGTCCTTCCTTGGGTGCCCTCCCTCAGCCCTAGGGTACATAGAGAGTTTGCTTATATCTTATAGTTATGCCTTTATTATAGTTAACACATTTTGTAATACATTAACATTTTTGATTTAACCTATCATGTGGTGTATCTTTCCTGATTGAGCCTGACTGTTAGAGCCTCCATACATCATTTCATCAAATCCCCCAAACAATTCTAGCTTATGTGACACACACTCTGAATTTTCCTATTTCTCTATTTATTTCAACATTTATTTTGAAGCCGCAGAGATCTATTTATTATTATTTCATGCCACTCCACAGCCCAGAACTATGATCTAGCTCCTGAAAAGCGGCAGCAGGCGCACAGATAATGAGACACAGAAAAGAGTTGAATGAAGATCTCTGCAAGAAATGAAGAGCTTCGGGAGTATCAGCCCCTGAAAGAGTCCCGTGAAACCACAGTGCTTGCCTCTTAGCCTCTGTCGATCTATACCAGGAAAAATGCAAAAAATCAGAGCAGAGGGTGGAACCTAACCCTCAAGGAAATCGTGGCTGTGATGGTATTCTGCATGCTGCGGAGGCACACAAGGACTGCACGGACCTTCTAGAACTGCTGATGCCCCTCATCTTCACAGTTGGTTCTCATTTCCCCACTGGCTGTGGCCCTTCACGCTGCACCCTGTCAGGCTCTCCCAGGCCTTGACTCTCGTCTTTTTAAAATGGGAATCATCTTCTGGATGGAGACACTCAGTGTCACCACTGATCTTGGGTGTGGCCTGACACCGTTTGGGTTCTGACTTTGGCTTTACCCTCAGGACTCACCAGAACCGCATACTGCATTGCATGCACGCTGACTCGTTTGTTGCTGTGGTCTGCAGGCTCAGGAAGCCATAGCCTTTCCTCCTCCAGCCCCTTTCCTAGTCCTGGCCCCTCCAGGTTGTCTGTAAGTCCAACCTCTGCTGATTCCCTATAACATCACCATCATGATAAAAGACTGTTGTTTTTGGCCAGGCACAGTGGCTCACACTTGTAATCCAAGAACTTTGGGAGGCCGAGGTGGGTGGATCACCTGAGCTTAGAAGTTCGAGACCAGCCTAGCCTACATAGTGAAACCCCATCTCTACTAAAAATACAAAAATTAGGCCAGGTGCAGTGCCTCACACCTGTTATCCCAGCACTTTGGGAGGCCAAGGCAGGTGGATTGCCTGAGCTTAGGAGTTCAAGACCAGCCTGGGCAACACAGTGAAACCCCGTCTCTACTAAAATAAAAAAAATTAGCTAGGCATGGCGGTGTGTGCCTGTACTCTCAGCTACTCAAGAGGCTGAGGCAGGAGAATTGCTTGAACCCAGGAGGTGGAGGTTGCAGTGAGCGGAGACCACACCACTGCACTCCAGCCTGGGTGACAGAGCAAGTCTCTATCTCTTAAAAAAAAAAATACAAAAATTAGCCAGGATGGTGGTACATGCCTGTAATCCCAGCTACTCAGGAGGCTGAGGCAGGAGAATCACTTGAACCCAGGAGATGGAGGTTGCAGTGAGCTGAGATTGCACCATTTGCACTCCAACCTGGGTGACAGGAATGAAATTCCACCCTGAAAAAAAAAAAAAGATTGTAGTTTTCCCACAAAGAGGTTGGCAGTAAATGACTGGTCATGTGCAAAGGTTGTCCCTGGGCTTCTGTCTTGTTCTGCTCATAATCATGAACATTCAGAGTGCATCAATGGCAAAGACCTTCTCCTTGGTCTCCCTTCTAAACAATGTTTCAACTTTTGTTTGAGGGAGGCTGTCTTCTAGGGACAGATAGAAGCAAAAGCAGCAGGAGGTTACAGAATGGACATATTGATGCTGCAGCCACCATGCAACTCTACAGTTTTTGCTACTCCCTTGTGTGCAGACATCAAACATCATACAGCATGGTTTTGGGCTTTAGAATGTGAGCTGGCAGTGATGGGCATGCCTCGAAGTAGCTCAGGTGTCAATCATCCTCACCTAGGACGCTTCCTGGCCAATGCACTTTGTTGATGGGGGTGGGCAGACACGGAGGTTGCATGGTGGCCCTCTGCTAATGGGATTTTGGTCCACAAGCACCTCTGCAATGAGGATCTGTTGCCTTGACTCCTGTATGAGTCTCCTAGGGACCCTGTGACAAAGTACTACAAGCTGGGTAGCTCAGTTTAACAAAAATGTATCCTCTCACACTGTTCTGGAGACTAGACGTCTGTACTCGAGATGTTGGCAGGGCCATGCTCCCCATGAAGGTATTACAGGAGGGCCTTCCTTGCCTTTTCTGAGCTTCTTCTACTGGCTGCTGGCAGCCCTCACTGTTCCAGGTTTGTGAGTGGATCACTCCATTCCCTGCCTGTGTCTTCATCTAGCCTTCCCTGCCTGTTTCCTCTGTGTCGCATCTCCTTCTTATAAGGACACCAGGCATTGGATTAGGGCCCACCTTAGTCCAGTGCGAGCTCGCCTTCAATAATGATAACTGTAAAGACACTGTTTCCAGTTAGGGCCCCACCCTGAGGGTCCAGGTGAGCATGGATTTTTAGGGGACACTACTCCACCTAGTGCAGCTTTTATAACCAAATGACCGTACGGTGAAATTAACTTGTATTACAGACTGTAAGTTTTCATTATAAATCTCTCAGAGCACAAATAATTTTATTTTGAATTTTACAAGGTCCTAAACTGCGGCTTATTCCCAAAATGGTTCAATCATGTTTCTTAAAAGAGCCTAGAATGCAGATTTTGAGTGTATAGATTAGTGCTCCCTGCTCAATGTAATAAGTAACCAGGAGTA